GGCAACCGACGAGCGACTGAAAATCATTTTTAAAGATTATCTAATTATTTAGAAAACTATTTTATTACTGTTCATTGAGATCGTTGGACGACGTTGGAGACAATCGAGCGATCCCTGAAAGACCGTCGAGAGATTTGCATAGTTTTTAGTCAGATTCCAAAATTTCAGACTTACTACAAGGTTCTCAATACTGTGTGTGTCTACCGGCACTATACACATCACAGCGTCGGCACGACTGTGTCTATTGTGAATCTATACTGAATCTGCCACGCGCCTTCAGCCTAGCGCTAAAAATACCTCACAGGAACCATTCCGGATATGGACACCCATTAACCGCCTGGCCCCGCTAGCGCGTGTGTGGGGCGGTGGCTTTTATCTCATAATAGAAATTTATTTTCGGACCAATCAAGCAGATGTAGGGATCTTAGTTTGAAAGTTCAGCATTTGATGCCTTTTTTTGTCTCACTGGAATAGAATCGCATGTTCTCTTAATACAAATCTGGGTAATAGCAGCATTAACTCCATATGCGGAGGTTTTGTTTTCGGTTTGTCAGTAGAGTCGTAGGAAGTGTATGGGGGAGAAGAGTGCGACCGCAGAATGTCAGGAAGGTCGAATTGGAGGTCAATATTGTGTTCTTGCAGGCTGTACATGCGAGGAAATGACTCAGAAGTCGAATTGGAGGTGAAAATGATCTTCTTCAATGCAGGCTGTGAGGAAGTGACAGTGAATCATACACAGCACCAGCGAGAAATCTATAATAATGAATAAAAAGTTTACAACAACTCGATATCTTGTTTTGGAGTTGTATTCAGACTGCAAACACCCACATCTGAAGTGGTTCACCGTTAAAACACCCTCTCTTATAACACAATGAGATCATATTATTTAGCCGTAAGTATTTTCTGTGTGCTCTCACGCACCATTAACACCTCCCAGCGATGCCGTACTCATGCTGTTGTACTCTCTCTTCTGCTCTCTCGTGTCCTCTCTGTAAATAACAGACCTTCCTGTGCCCGCACGTCAAACACGTACCCACGGCTTCTCGAGTTTTGAGTACGCGCCTGGCATTTCGCGCTTCTCCGTTAATTGGACTTACAGGATGCGATGATCTTTTAGAAGTATTGAGCCAACCTGAGGCGTGTTAAGCCGAGTCGGCAGTCTGGGGACTTCGTGTCTTTGCAAATGTCAAACTCCTATCTTAAGGGTTCTCGTCTGCCATGGGATCATAGCTCAGTCTTTTTTTTACTTTATTGAGATTTACCATATTTGTGGAAAGATATTTGATTGACACAACAGGTGGCCAACGCCTTTCCAGGTTGTCAGCCCGCACCAAATAAGGACCCACCGTGAGAAAGCTTTAATACAGTCCATCCAAAATATAATATTAAGTAGAGACTCTCTCGTTTTATGAATAAAACACACACACCCTGCTTCCGGCGGAATCGCTTCGTGATGTTGCAGAATATAACTTGAAAGCCTTCCGTGTCTAAAAACAGATCGTTTGAAGTGATAAACATAAGGCTTCTGTCCATGTGCATACATGGAGGTAGGGCCCTGTTCACACGGAAACGCCTAAAACCGCATTTCGGGTAAATCGCATTCCTAACATCCGGTCCACGTGCCACACGTTCCTTTCAAACCGTGCCCGACCACAATTCGCCTAAACTACATTCATTGTTGTTTGGTGAAAACAAGCAAGGTGCGTGTTGTCAATGTCGGAAGTCAACGACCTGCTTGCTTGTGCCCCCCTCCCAGCGTGCCTCGGCCAAATGCCGACGTGGTCCCGTCAGAGGCGGTGAAGCTCGTCCTAGAATGGACACATTATTCGGTCATTTCTGCTCTTTAAGTTGCTGTCACGTAAATTTGGTATTGCATATGAATAAAAAAATATCACCCCGTAATGGATGACCGGGTTAATATGTAGATTAAACCGAAGTATCATTGCGTTAAGACTGAAGTCGGAATGCGTTGAAGCGGTTCAAAACTACCTCCCAAGGTGATTTGGGATCTAGGCTCTTTCAATGCGATTTGGATCGTTCAGATGGGGCCACTTGAATCCTGCTTCGGTGGAATCTGGATCGAAAGCGGTTACAGCGTTTCCGTGTGAACAGGGCCTATGTTGATGTTGTTCTTTCATCAAGACCAGTTCTTTAGATGATTGAATTACCGTTTATATATTTGATATTCAGTTCTTACCCATGCATATGTTCCGCAGTTTCTATTTCATTGTGAACTGTTCTTTGTCCTTGAAATTATCCTTCGGGCAATAGTTTGGAATAAACAATAATGTCCTAGAGGCGTTTCTTTTCAGTCCAGAATTAGCTGGTGTGTTACGCCGAAAGGCGGTTATACCGGCTATACAGATACAGATACAGAATTCTACAATAACAAACTTTAAGGTAATCTCATTATAGGCAAGGAACAACGGTCGGGTTTCAAAGCAGCAGCTTGAATGGCGAATCAGGTTTTATTATTTGGAAGTCCCCAGTAGGCGGCCGCGGGAAGCCTAGGATGCAGATTTCACGGATTTTCTCAGTCTGAAACAAAATAGAATTAACAAAATAGAAATGCAATTACTTTCACAGATACTGTTGCCTGCAAAATCCTAATTTGAACTGGCAGGCATTCTGCACGGAGTGTAGCTTTGTCTTCAATAGATTCTTTTGAGACTTCTTGTTTCTTTATTGCTCGGTGATGTGTTGGCGGCTTCTACGGGAATAACATCAGCAGTTGGTGAGGCATCTATTGTGAAGGAGTCAAATTGGCATAATTGCGAGGCAAGTGGTTTGGACACCGCTGGTATTCTTCTAGATTAAGTGTCAATCTGAAGTGATCTTACGTACGCGTTGTTTACCATTTTCTGGCGATGTACGTGCAATTAAATTGTACAAAAATAGCGCAGTCTATTGAATAGTACACAATTGTGACTGCATATTTTTATGTGTTTTTAACTTGAACTTGGAAACTAGTTTGTAACATGAGTTATAGTGGCGCCAGGCTGACTGATACATGTAGTTTGGAAGTCACTTTTGCCCAAAATCATAATAACGGTTGAAACGTTCCGAAAACTCAGCCAGCTTGAAAAGCGTCGGTCTTCTGTGCTTTCAGATATTTTACAAAATATATTTCGTATTATTCATATTTAAACTCAGTAGCGTAGTCAGCGAGTTACTTACGTTAATTTGTGGTTTAAAAAGTGATATTTTCCACAGCAAACTTACCACGCTTAATTTTTGGTGATTTTGTTGCCAATGTAAGAATTAACTGCACATCCTGCCTGATTCCTGGGACGTTCTATTATAGGTGGATGGGGTTGTGCATGAACTAGCACAGATACGATTTAAAAGAAAGATTATCTCTGTCGCCAAATTTGAGAAGAGCGAGTGCACTACTGATTATGGGAATTAGCATAAACAATGGCAATCAGAAGGCTATTCTCCAGGCACGACTGTAGACACACAGTCACATATATTAATTCTTCATTTTTGTGTCGACGATAAGATTGACATATCAGGAAACACGAAAGCACGAAAGATAAAACTGTGGCAAATAAATGGTGTTGTCAGTTTGACATGTGGGGAAATAATGAGGGAGAATTGATGAGCTGTGGGACCACATCCATCACAAAAGCTGCCGTAATTACCCCGCTGCTGATTATTTCACACTAATTGGCGCTTGTTATAACTTCAAAGAACTCCCAGGGATGAGCATGACAGGCCGCAGCGCTTTAAATCTGGAGCGTTACTTGTACACTTAGCCCCCTTTTCCACCAGGATAGAATTGTCTGGATCGAGCCGAATTGGTTCGGTTTGATCCCACTCGAAGCCGGACCAAAGCGAATCGATTCGGCTCGATCCGGATAATCTTATCCTGGTGGTAAATGGGCCATAGTCTCGTATATATTTGTTCATAGTATATGGTAGTTAATTTGGTAGTTAAAATGATCTCTCACACTACAACAGGCGTTAACCGTTGATAACGTTTATTTCTCGTATATTCAAACATCAAAACACAGAAAGGTACAAAATGTTATTGGGTACAAATTTCCATGGCAGGAAAGGCCATGCTCTTCTTACATCTTAAGTATCTGTGGGCCGCATATTGCACACTGACAAGTCTTCGTTCTAGTTTTCCTACAATACATAACTGTACAACACAACGCTCGTCAGTCAAAGGGTACGGATGTACGTTTCTGCCTTATTTACAGCTATATGGCCAGCAACCGCCTTTGCGTGTACACGTGCTCAACAAAAAACTGTCTTAGGTCCAAAAAAAGGTATATAGATCGTCAACAGTTAGCGACAGAGTCTACTTGACTACCAAGGTGGGCTTGCAACGTGCATCTTGAGTCTTAAAACCGACTGATTTTGACTCTTTTAACTCTACTTACTGCCGATCCTTGTAGCTTCTGCTTGAAGAACTCAAGAAGCGCTCCATGTCCATATCTTTCGACTGCCCCCTAACCAGACATCCTCAACCGTCTAAGACCAGGAACAGCGTCTTGCGAATAAGGACAATTAGTTTATACGCAAAGGCGGTTTCTGTCATTATTTCGGCTTCGTTACGGGTAAGGCATTTGGAAGTTATTTCTTGTCACAGGTATGCGGTATGTAAAGGTGTGCGGGGCACAGGAAGCAGCTACTACAGTCCACAACACTCCTGTGGTTGTTTAGACAACGCTAAAAACTGGCCAATAGGGGTAAACAATTTGCCTGAGGTGTCAGGTACCCAGCCACACTTTTACCCAGGCAGACCAACTACTCTGTCAAATTATACACCCCTTTCGGCCAATTTTTTGCTTGTTCTATAATCATCAAGTCTGTCTGTCTGGTGGAGACTATATGAAGTTACAGGTATTACAGCAGCAGTGACGTCCACAGCACAAGTCATTACATAACTGACACGTCGCCGTTAGGTGTAGTAACATTTGCAAGATACTTGGTACTTTTTGTTCTATTGCTTAAACATGGATTTTGAAGTCCACATTTTCCACCGGCCCGGTCACTTCATCACTTGTCAAACAGTTTATTATCTCTAGTCTCTATCAGACTCCAAGGGCTGCTGGAAAACAATACAAAATGGAAAATGGCCTAAATATTAAACCAGAGGACCCTTAACACTTGCAAAGTGTACTCCGATCCTATGGTTGACTAACTTCTGTTGTATGTTAGTCAGTCTATTTCCCTCATTTCTACTATTTTCCAACAGCCCACTGGTTCTTTTCCGTTTCAACGATCTGTTATGTGAAATATTATCCAGTCTTTTCCACCCACAAGAAAGTGGGTGGTGCAAAATCTAACGAAAATGGCGCAATTTTTCCGTACTGAACGAATTTCCCAATGCTGAGTATACAGTAAAACTATGGCCTTGAGTACAAAACTACAAAATCTGATCAATACAATTTTATACACGCACAGCTCGACATCTACATACCATTAAAACAGACTTTCACAACTTCAAAGACCGTCTCGTTGATAACATAACAATTACTCCTACGCCCAAGTCACCCGTACATATAAAACACTTAATCCAAACATGCCTACAGCGTAGCTGTTCATCGTTTGGCATTTACCTTATGATCCAGCTAGTTTCGAAGTATCTTCAGAAGCACTCAATTCCCATAGGAACCATACTCACATCGGAGTTCAGACTAAAACGAGCTTGGGCGTTTATATACAGCCTTATACTGGAGTGCGTAATTTTCCTCGTCTGATGATTTCATTAATATTTCATCATAATCATAACACTGATTTTGTGCTGGTTTATTGCTGTGTCTCAATAGATATAGATCATATACATCAGAGATGGCATTAAGACCTCTGCACACACTGGCGCCACATTCGAGGCACCCTTCAAAACTTTTAAATTGTCCCCAAGAACCGACTATATATGCGTCTTGCAACGTATAGAACCTGGCCCTAACCTACTGTATCCGTGCTTTGTTGAATACAAACCTCCACACTCCAAATCTTCGTCATTGTCACGTCACTGCGTCACAGAAGCCCCGTTACAAAGTCTAACGCCCCCATGGGAGGGTTTCATAAGTTCGCGTTATGACCAGATGCTGGTGAACGAAGTCATTTCTTTCTGTATCTGGGCAGTGTGTACTGGGCTATGTGCGTACATAACGACGACTAACATTTGACTATACACGGACAGGATATAGTAGAATTGTCACATTCCCACTGCACGTTCAAACATTTAAAAAAGTGATTGTTTTAAGATAGTATTGATATGCGATGCTCCAAGCTTCACCATGTTCCCTCATCCAATCAACAGCTTCTGTTCTGTCCGTGAGCTGATTCTAAAACTTCAACTGTCCAGGACAAGATCCCGTTGCCATAGCTACTGGACTTTGCAAGAGCTTCTTCTTCTAGTGTTCTGTCTGCGCATGCTCGGCTTCTCCTCGTCCTTGCCGTGAGGCACGTGACCGTTGGTGCTGGGCGTGACGGGGAGCGAGGCCCTGCGCCTGCGCAGTGCGGGGGACAGGTGACACGGGATGTGCGCCTGGTGCAGCAGCTGCTTGAAGATGTTGACGACGTTGGTCCTCTCCTTGGCGGACGACTCCAAGAAGACGTGTTGCCAGGCCAGTTCCACCACCAGCTCGGCGTCCTCCTTGGGCACCTGCCGCTTGTCCTCCAGGTCGCACTTGTTGCCCACCACCACCACCGGCAGCTTGGCCATGCCCGCCTCGCCGCGAATGTCGATGATCTCCTGTGGAATGAGGGGGAGGGGGGCGGGGTTAATGTGTTGCCACATCAAATGGTATCATGTTTCAAAATAGGAGAATGACGAGTGTGCAACATTCGTATCAGATTTCAGAGCCAACTGATCAATGTCACATCCCCGGCGTCAAGCCAGATACATGATCCTGCCAAATACATGACTCCGACACTACTTGGGGGGTTCCATTATACCTGAGACAAGGGGTGGGAGGGGTTTAGTCATGATGTGGGAGACTAAACCTAACCTAACCCCAATCGTAAGTCTAACCCTAGCTCTGAACAATGATCCCAACCCTAACCCTAACCCTTGCCTTGAACGCCTGACCTCTCAAGTATGTGACAGCTCAAAGATTTGGCTCAACACCGGCAGGGCATGAGCATTCGTGACAGACACGTGGCTGACACGTGATTGACATGTGATAACACGCGAACACACATACCTGTCTGATGTTCTTGATTTCCTCGAAGGACTGCGGGTTGTCGATGGCGTACACCAGGAGGTAGGCGTTGGCGTTGGTGATTGACAGTTTCCGCATGGCGGGAAATTCAAACGAACCGCTCGTGTCCAGAATGTCCAGACGGACCTTGGGAACGAGAACAAAAAAATGTCTGAAATTAGTTTTCATACATCCAAGAAAGTAGGACATAGGTGTTACTGTATCAGCAATGTAGGGTATGATTTAGCGTAGAAGATGAATAGATATTTTATGCTGACACCAAACTCACCCCGATGCCCCCCCCCCCGTGACTTTTAAAGGACACTCCTTATTTTCTTACGCCTCCTACTGTACTACTCATGTTGTTGCAGGCGTTGCAGGGACCTCCCCCAATTCAAAGTTCATTTTCTGGGTATCACGAGAAATGTCAAGTCCCGGTTGGTGGAGACAAAAACAGATGGAGGGGAGAAACTCCCTCCCTGCCGGTCGATACGCGCGTGTGCCCGGCACATGCATCTCCGCGTGCCTTCTCCAGCGGTAATTATTTTTCTGCCCTTTAAATTATTACAAAGATACCCCGTATGTGTCTGAACATCTCCTGAGAGCAAAAATTCCCCAACGAGCAGTAATATCAGGATTTGCTTTATAAAATCAAAACTCGCAGAATGAAACTAGCTGCACACTGCATCAGACATCCTGACATTGTAGCATCCAGGCTTGTCCTTTGGAAACCCACTAAAGGCCAAAGAAGTCGAGTGAGACCTAGGATTTAACTACATCGACAACCTCATATCAGACACCAGCTTAACTGAAGTAGAGGAAATTCGGTCTCTGATGGAGGACAGAGAGGGATGGCGCATATCGAATGCTTTCACGTTTGGTTCAAGCGGGAGCTCAACGAAAGAAAAGTAATTTGGATTTAATTTATTACACGGCAGGTTTTGACTTCGCAGAAGGACGAGATCGCAAGTAAGAACAAATGACAATCATTTACAAAATTATTCAGTGGACAATCCTCAGTCTGTTCATTTATGTGTCAGAGCGACTAAAGTCAGTCAGTCCGCGAGAAAGCGCCCCCTAGCTTGCAAAGCGTAACAGCAAAATGTCGAATACACGCAATAGTCTAGTGGTACCAGTAAGCTCATCTATTACAAAATCGAAGATCCTTTCCAGTCCTTATACCAAGCTAGTATCACATAGTTATCTGGAATAAAGCCGTTGGAGAGATTGGTTGAGATTGCATTCCTCTTGTCAGATGTACAAATGTACGTATATACAGAGCAAAGCCCACACGACATCACACGAATCAATCAAAAGCGAAAGTTACACCATCTTTACAGTCTGCCCAACACATCACAAATCACGATAACTAGACTCAGGTCACGTAAATGCATGCTCTGTGGAGCATTGATAATCCTTGCAGCTCACGGGGCGCTTAGCACCAATCTTCGGGCTCTCTATTTGCTCTTTCCCCGCCTGATTTATGGAACAGTTGCATGCTCCGGGCAGCGGCATCGTCTTGTTTCAAGGCCTGCAAGTCTCTCGTGCATGCCGTAAACTCGTACGGCGCGGTTACACTCATCATAGGTCGCCGTGCGATGTTGATGTCGTACCGGCTGTGACTGAACCGACGCCGCTGACAAGAATCTAAGACAGTCTGATTTTACGGTACACTCCCGACTATCCCGTGGATGCTCTCAGTGTTCAATTGTATGAGAAATATGAGATACAACCATCGTGGGTTACTTTAACACATAGTCTCTCCTTGGCTATCTTGACGAGCTGTATTTTTTGACAACATATCACCTTCTGGTCCTCTTATTTCTTCTCCTTGACGAAAACTGTCACAGCTATCAGTTTCCGTCCAACAGAGGATTTCTCAATACAGCCGGGTGCCGGTAAGTCGCCGTTTTAAATATCCCATCAGGTCAGGCGCCACATCAGACTGTACAAATCTGCATTTCTCCGAGCCCTTTACTCATTTCATTTGTTACACAAGACAAAGGATCTGTACAAATCAATATTTGAGGTCTTCTCTAAAGTCATTTTCAGTCACGGTCTGTCGCTGATAACTTGACGCTCGTACATACATTGGATATAACGGGACGTATTCTGGTTTCGCTGATTCTTATTGAGAACAACATAGAATTTACATGATTCGTTGAGGCCTGTCCTTTCTGCCAACTCTCGATATTTTGGGGAAATTTGGTAACGTTAGCAGCTTGTTTACAGTCTCTTTCCTAATGGACTACTTTTACGTGTCTTTTACTGGAAATATTATTATTCTTTTGATGATCTATAGCCCAATATTACGACTTTCACTATGAGCCCATCCTCTCACTATTACGCCCTTTACCTTTGTTCCAGTGGATCTGTTCCTCATACCAAGACATTGGCTAAGGGGCACTATTGATATATGTAGAAGCGTTTTAAGGCCCATAGTATCCTTGCTGTGATTAAGTTTACACGCCTTTTAACGATAACTGTTGGCTCTTCCACTTTGCCGTGTGTTTACCTGCTGGTGAGCTTTAGTTTAACACATTACTCCAGAATTAATCGCCACCATCAATCCAGCGCACGTCCTCATTACCAACTCAACCTACAGTCAGGTTAAGCTAATATTTGTGGAAAGTAATGAATCACAATACATTTGCTCAACACGGTTTATGAAATATGGTGTTTCAAGCGACTGTCGTCACTTCAAAGATGCCGGCATTGGTAAGAGAACACCAACACGTCAATGCATGCATCTCCGTACTCCCGCTAAGACCACATTAACTACCGCATTTCGCATGTAACACGCGACCCTTCCTTGCTAATGGTGCGGTCACATATATTCATTCACCGCAGGTCGTCGTACAAATTTTGATGCAGTAGAATCTATCACGCTGCGACAGAACCAACTACGGACAAAAGTAGTCTATGGCCCCATTTCCACAAGGATATAAAATTGTCCGCGGATCGAGCCGAATTAATTCGCTTTGATCCGGCTTCGATTCGGCTTTGACCCGGCTCGATCCGGTCGCGAATCAATTCAGCTCGATCCGGACAATTTTACGCGAGTAGCTAGGAATGGCGCCTAAGACAGCTTTTGCAGTAACAAAGCAGCTGAATTTTGCAGGACGACTATCCCAAGAATGCGATCGTTCGACGACTGGGCGCTAAGACGAAAACATCAAGATCCACATGTATGTCAATCACTACTCCGGACAACAATATACCAAAGGCCGAAAGACCAAAGTAATGCGGGTCGATGAAAGCAGTGGTTCATTTCCGCTCCGCCTCACAGAAAGGAGATATATGAAATTGCCGGATGTACCCTGCCTGGTGGTAATAAGGCCACATGGACGCTATACATGGTGGGTAATACCATACATTTATTTCCCTAGGTCTTCTCGCTACACCTTTAGCGTTTCTTTCTATTTTTCGCAACGACATGCGTGCTGGGGTTGACAATCACAACGAAACAAATGATAGGGGTCAAGTGACCATCTCTGAACGCTTGACTTTGTCGCTCCTTCAAATCAACCCTTTAACTCTGTTGCCTTAAATTCATATAAAACATCTCTTCCTATACTATGGAGTTGTCAAATTCTTAATCTGACGACAGACTCAGTCTATCCCGAGCTATGCTGTAAAAAGCAGCCACGGTTTCCATCTCGCCGTGACGAATTCAGCTGCAGGCTTCCGGTACTGGAGCTCATAAACGTCTTATCTTGGCCGCGCCAAAAGGTCCCAGGAGCGCCGCTGGGACAGGCGAACTTTAAGACAGCATTCAGCTCGTCAAGGATCCATTCATCTCGAAATACCTGCCTCACTTTGGTCTGGGGGTCATTTGTAATAACTTCAACAAGACATCAAGTAACACGACAACGTAGTCATGGAACTGACTTTTACGGCAACACGAAGATACAGACTAAGAACAGGCAGTCGCGTTTAACGTTGAATACCATGACAGGGCATAATGAGGGCAAATTTAGGCCAAATTTGAACGCCAAATTTGGAAACAGAAATAGGACACTAACCGAGAAAGTTTTTTAATGATGAAAAATTGCTACCGTTTTCTGATGACTCTTGTTCCCTGCAATCTAGACCAAATCTGGAAACAGAAGTAGGACATTAACAGAAAAAGTTTTTTAATGGTGAAGAATTGCTACCGTTTTCTGATGACTCCTGTTTCCTGCAACATTAGCCGGAGTTACCATGTGGTTGTGTTGGTCACAGGCTTATATAGGCCGATTATCATATAACGGTACAAAATAAAATTCGTTGCATCACAGGTGCAAGAGTCTTGGTGATGGACCACCAACAGTCGCGAACAGCAATACTTGCAACGCAGTCAGCCGTAAACAGCTACAATTACCTTTATTAAGTGCATTACATGCGTTTGTAACTCTAGAGTGGCGCAAATGGGGGCACACAATTACCCCCTCCCACTAGCCGTGCGGCACGGGGTCGCTATTTGCCAAATGAAAACCCCGCCGCTGCCGATTCTATCACCCCTGCACCGGGAGAATGATTGCCGCGAGGGCAATCTTCTTCCGCGACAACAGCGGCGTTCTTTGTGATGGGGGCTGATGGAATAATTGCATTATGCAGACTGGGGCGATGTTTTTGTCTGTGAGAGCGGCGCCACAGTATTATCCTTCCCTGTGTTCCTTGATGTCTGATGGAATCAATAAACAAATCGTTAGTATTCACTCATACTTTTAAAACATGTATACAAACATACTTGTTTTGTACGCTGTTCTTTCAAATAATAGCCAGTGATGTATCTTGTGCCCTTTGCCCCAATAGCACAATGGTAGTATTTTCCAGTGCCGTAGCAGGATAATGCAAGAGGTTTAAGATATGCCGCTGGCGCCATCTTTATTCTGATGTCTCGGTACTATGTCGGTTCTGCCATACGCCATTGAAGAAGAACATAAGAGAACATAAGGGAAAACAGCTCTCCCGATGAGCTCGAGTCGGTGACATCAATGGGACATTTACAGCAGCTACACGGCAGGTGGTCTTCTCGACCACCGTGTGATTTGTAGAGCTAGGTCGATATTTTTTTATTCACATATATCTATTGGATATTGGGCAAAATGCACAAGTTGCTTATATAACACCTCCTACTCATAAGTGTAAAACACATTGACAAA